ATACATTAGTGTATTGTTCTTTTTCACTGAGTAACTTTCATTTTTTTTCGTCTTGGAGTATTGCATCTCAATGTCAAATAATTGCATGGTTATTTTTTTATGTCGTTTTCGTATTCATGAAATTGATATTCTTATTATGTAAACATATGCGCATTTAATTCATGTAGTAATTAAACTTATCTTCAACTGTTTATGAAACATGTGAAATTAATGAACTAAAATATTAATTTGCCTTTTTTGTTTTACAATATAAGAAAACCATAAAAAGATGGTAAGGAACATGGAAAGAAAAAAACCTACTTTTAGATGAGTGATGAAGAAGTGGAAATGGTACTGAGTCGAAAGTCTCGATTCAGTCGCTATCGTACACAAGTTCGAAAGAAAATCAATCTCGATATAAATGAAGCAATGCAAATCGATGATAGCAACATTACATCGTATGCACTTTTCTGTTTTATTTCTTTTGTGTATCGCTTTGAATTATTAGAATGAATGATATATCTGATTCCGAAGAACCAAATACTGTATTCATTGATAAAATACCAATAGTAACGCACGATGTATGTACTCAAACTTTAGATTCGTTGTCTAATCCAGAAATTAAACAACATATCATTGAAAATAGTCATGGTAACTATATAAATCAATTAGAAGGTAGTAGTAGTATATTTCAACTTCTAAATGATTATAATAATAAATTTAAAGATAATGATTTGCATTAGTTTTCTGATGATGGTACAGATTCTATTGATACGAATGACGATGCGGAAGAAATATATGAAGCTCAGTGCAACGTATTCGATAATGATTTTGAAACTCAACAACCACCAAATGCTACTGAACTTTCAGTAATGTTACTTTTTGTTTGGAGAAAGCATTCTATGAGTAAAGCTGTCGTGAATGATATTTGTCGAATTTTGAATGCTTTCAATGTTCCAAACATGCCTAAAGATTTTCGCGGGGTGATGTCACACATTAAAAAAAATAATCCTACATTACTTCACGGTAATCAATCGTTTATTTGTCCATCGTGTTTCAATAGAAGTTTAAATGCTTCAAAATGTAATGTCAAGGGATGTCAATCTGCTTCATCCTATGTTCGTACTCCAACATCAGTATCTACTTTTCCTATTTTACCTCAAATTATTGCAATTCTTGAACGTGAAAATCTTGCATCATTAACATATGAATCTGATCAATGTCGTGACGTAATGAACTCTCAACGTCATTATGAAATCGTAATGAAGGAAAAACAAACACATCCAGGAAGAAATATAGTGACTCTTACACTTAATTCTGATGGTACGTTAATTAAACGATTATCTCGTTCTTTATGGATCACATGTGCTTGCATAAATGAATTACCTCGACGCAAAAGGTTTGAAATTAATAATATATTAATATGTTCTATATCAACAGGTGCTGAAAAACCAAAAAGAAAAGAATACTCAACAATATTAATTGATATCGTAAACGAGTTAAAATTTCTTGAACACGTAGGTTTCGACATTGTATTGCCATCTGATAAAAAAGGCACTGCACAAAATTATACACATTTTCATGCCTTTACTATATCTGCTGTCTGTGATAAACCAGCACAGTCTCTACTTATGAACATAAAAGATTCAACTGGTTTTTTTAGCTGTGGGTGGTGCTGCATCACAGGTTAGAATATTTTTATTTCTTGAAATTCAGATTCTTTTTTTCTCATTTGCTATACTATTTATTTATGTTAAACAAGGTAAAACTAGTTCTTCAGGTGCACGATGTTTCATTTCAAATGAAAAAATTCCGATAAAGATTCGTAACAATGCAACCTATGATGCATTTATGCAGCTTTTAGCTAGGGTAAGTTGTCTTCCTTATTTTATTTTTCATTCATAAATTTGTTTTTTTTTTGTTTAGAATTATGTGCCAAAACATCCTATGAAAGATAAAGCATGTGGACAGTTAGGTTATTGTGCGTTACGTGAACTAACTTATTTTGAAATCGGAGAAAGTTTCTGCTTCGATTCTCTTCATGGGTTATATGCTGGAACATTTGTAAGCTCTTTAATTTTTTCAATTTTGAATACCTAATAACGAATTTCAATAAGAAAGTGGAGACGTTTTCCTAATCATATGAATGTAAATCTCTTGATGAAAGGCCTAGATCTTCATATTTTTATCTATGATGTCATAAAGTCTCACGCGATGCAAAAATTAAACTACATTTAATGTAACTTCAATAATTGTTGATCATAATCTTGCTCAATTAAATTAACAGACTACAATTTTTAGTATTTGTACTTGTATTGTGCAAATTTCGAGAGTTTTATCAACAAGCGGTCCGTCTTATTCGTATTCTTTTTTTTCACCAAGTACTTTTCTGACATAGATAGGAAGATTTAGTGGAATCAAAGTTTGTTGAACATTTCATATCCTCGACCCTATCTTTCTTTCTAATAATTCTAGTTGTAGAATGTGAAAAAATCTGATTATGTGTGGGCAAATATTTAATAATATCTTTTTTTCTGAGAATGATAACAAGCTGTATATGTACACAAAAAATTATGCACTCAATCTTTGAGCAACAATGAACTTCCATCTAAATAGTTTCAACTTTCTTTTTATTTTTGTTAACAGAGAAGGTTAATGTATTTGTGGTTTGATGCTGTAAAAGCTGATTATTCAATTACAAAAAAAGAGTTTGATCGACTGGAGAAATTGCTGCAAACTATTCATTATCCAACTACGAATCGATTGCCACGTCCTTTGCGGTGTTTTAAATCATGGAAAGCGAATGAGTTTAGAATTACAATACTTTTCGGATATAAGTAATTATACATCTCGTAGTGTAGTGATTCATTCGATTCAAACCTTTTCTCTTGTAGATTGTTTGAGCAAGTAATGAAAAAGAGATATTATGAACATTTTCGATTAGTGGCATATGCCGCAATTTTTTCCGAAACACGAACATTAACAACAAATCGACTAAATCAGATCAAATGTCTTTTAGACATATTCTTAAATCAATTTCCTTTGCTTTACGGTGTCCGTATATTAATAACTAGCTTTTTACTCTTTTAATTTTATTCTTCTGTTTCCACTTTTAAAGGCAGCCAATTGTGTTTCTATTGTACACTCTCAAGTACACGTTCATCAAACATTACGTAAATTTGGACCTCTTCATAACTATAGCACCTTCAATTTCGAAAGTACAGTTGGTATGTATGTCTCATTCACTTCACCATAGTAGTTTCTATTTTACCAGCTAAGTCTTTTAAATATACATAACAATGTATTGTTACAGCTATAAATAATAATTTTACGCAGTAAGACAGAAGTGCCTCCAGCTTGTAGCTCTGTTGAAAACAACTAACGAATACCCTTATTTCTATATTTATGATCAATTTTTAATATACTAACATACAAACTATCAATTTAGATAGCCCAACAGCACAATATTCGACTAAAAAGCTCATCTATCAAACAACGATATATTAATAAACCTTACTCTACTTAATACGCATGCATCATTCTGATAGCATCAGTAATTTTTTATCAGAGATGTTCAACCGGGCTTGACATCTGTAACTGCCTTACAGAACTTAAATCTAAACCTGCCGCAACTCGATGAGTAAAAAATAATGATACCGCTGCTCGATCGCTTTCCAGAAACTACGATAATCTCCTCCTACATTGTATCATATGAGCACTGCTAGATTCGATCGAACAGATTTACTTTCATTTATTATTTTCGAACTTTTACACGCTCAGATTGAATGAAAATTCATCGAATTTTACAATCTTCCAAAAACGAAACTGTCACCACCATCCTGCTGCAGCCTCATTCAAGTCTATTACTGAAATGCTACCACTTCATTACACCCTGCTGTCACCAGACTGCAAGTTTGCTGTCAACCTGCTGCTAACTTGTTGTCAACGTCCTGTCAACTTGCTGCCAGTCTGCCACTGAACTGCTATCTTCCCCGTTACCCCCTGCTATCACCATGCTGCTAGCTTTCTGTCAAGCTGTTGTCACTCTACTGTCAGCTTGATACTGAGCTGCTGTCATCTCCCTGCTGCACAATGCTGCCACTCTGCTCCAGTCTCGCTTTCACCCCTCTGCCACGGGGCCACCGCACCATGGTAATTTTTAAAATATTTACCGTTAATGCCGTGTCAGTCGTGGTACGGTAGCAGCGGCGTCATCATGGGTATCTCTAGTTTTTACATTTCTTGAGGCAGATGATGGCTGAGTCTTGGTACTTTTTTGACTCGTTTCGGCAGAAGTTTTTCGTTCGAACACAATGCAGATTTTGTATATCTAATATGCTGTTGTTTTTTCTGATTAGGATCAATCGTAAAGTCTATATATGGTCCGTCGGTGATTATACCTGAGCTTATTAATAATTTTGAGTTGGTATCTCATGCTACTGATATTCTTAAAAATCCGTCCTTTCATCCAAAAATTGCTTTACTCATACATCAAATGCTTTTTTCGAAGAGACGAGCTGTACCAACATGCATCAGTCCAAATATTGAAATTCATCTGGCTCATCCAACAACTGTTAAATTTCTACATGTAGCCACATATCTCGAGACTACATACGGCAAGAAACAATTCACCCATTATTCACTATGCTTTGTTAAAGGTGTAACTTTCAAGGTTCATTGTCCAACAAATAAACAAGTGGATGATTCGGCTTTGGTTTATGTTGATGAGTCAGACAATATTCATCTTGGTGTAATTGCAGGAATTGTCAAACTCAAAGATACTGGCAATATCTTATTCATTGTCGATGAAGCAAAAATTATTGGTTATGATTCCTTTCTACTTAATGGAACGGAATACATAAATGATTTCTTTATTTTTGCAACATTAAAAACTCCACGAACCACTGTTTCGATTCACTATGATTCAATCAGAGAAAAAGTTGCATATCGATCAGATGAAAATCTCAATTCTGTTTGGGAGTTCCATCTATTTCCAAATCGTCAAGAATCCACATAAAAACTCTTAAAATAGCTACTGTTTGTTACTATTTTTCATTGATGCTTCTTTTTCTTTTCAATTTTCTATTATATATATTTGGTCAACTGTTTTATTCAATATCATTTAACTCTAGATTATTTATCACAGTAAGTATTATTTGCATACAAGGAAAATTAATGTGAACAACTATCTGACATCGCACATATAATAGCATCAAATTTCACTTTCATGCAAAGGAATTTGCA